TTTCCAGAATGAAAGCGACTTCAACACTTTTATATAGATGACTCCTAGTTACCTAGATTCTTTAAGTCAATATTCTACAACCAAACGCTGTAGAATAAAATCAATCATTTATATACAGGCCCTTAGGAGTTGATACTCTGCTGTGTCCTTCATCATGATCATGTGTTTTATTTTGTACTGGCAGGTAAAAATCTTTGACTGGATTGAAATAAATAAAAACCTGCAGAAAGATGCACCAGTAAAACAAAAGTTTCCATGTTTCAGTCAGCTAAAAATATACATTTTCTCTATGGACTTCTGTGCAAAACACGGAGGGAGTTTAACATATGGTGGTCCGTAATATAATTCGACTTTAACCGAGAAGTTTTTCTTTCTGGGACAAACGTACATCGAGAACAACAATAATCTATTTCAGCAGAGCTAAACTAACTATAGCAGTAAATCAAGGAGAGGATACATTTTCAAAAGGCAGTTGGGATTCCTAAGTCCCCCCACAAGGCAGCAGTCTATTTAAATATAATGCTAAGCCATTGCTACACATTTCCAGCCTTTGCTGTGCTGCACAAGTAAACAAGTAACAAACAAAGGCCTAGCCAGCGGCTGCATCTGTTATTTAGAGGAAAGGAAACAACAGTCGAGGACCAATCTGTCCACAATCCAACAAATGTTCTTCAGACAATTATGACATTCACTTTTAACACGCTCATTCATCTCTAATGACAGCATCGTGGCTCTCGTCAAGTCATTCATGTCGACACGGGAGCTGTTGTGAGTTTTATAGTTTAAAGGCTACGATTCCTTCTCTGCTGTCCCACTGCGGTAGCTGTGCCAGCCGACACACACACACACACACACACATCTGTGGCAGGAAGAAGACACAACAGGATGAAAACAAACAGGCATCATCTTTGCTGCCTCTCTTTCAGAATGGTGCATTTACAAGCCATATGTCAGTTTCCACAATGGTTCAATGAAGTGGAACCCAAAGGTGGACTCAAAGGGAAACAACATGTGACGCTGGAAGACGGCCAGTTTTAGCATTGTAACTGATCCAGCTTGAAATCTCTGGCTAAATCTGGTGTGATTACCGACATGGCGTAATGCATGTTTCTCGGCACCAGAAACTACTTAACAGCTGAGAAAGTAGGAAGTGTGAAAGACTGGGAGGGTCAAGCAGTTGCTGATAACTTGTTCTGTCAAAGTGACTGTGTAAAAACGGATAAAGTGCAGTACAACGGCTGGGGCGACTAGCAATATGCTGTCTCGATGGTGCAAAGCCACAAACACAGACACTTCCTGGGACTTAATATCTTCCCCCTCAGTGACACACAAAAAACATCTAACCTTTCATTTGTCATCCATACAAAAGTAGCTATGAGTCATCGGACACAGAGGTCTAGACAAAAACTACACCAGATTATATTAGTAAAAGTATCCTGGTATAAAAACCAACTCAAAATAACTCTGTGGCACTGAAGCCTGTGTGGTCGTGTTTTTCTCTCCAGCCTCACAACAGTCAACACGTCCAAAGAGAAACCCAATATGTTTACGGGAGAAAAGGGCTTTAAATCATATGGTTTGCCTCATTCTTCTAAAGCAAAATAAACAATGGATCTTTGCCCCTGCTTTTAAGGAACCGTGGAGTTGGTTTGATTCTGGAATCCCTTGAGAGCGTAGGGGCTTTGTTTTTAGAGGATCAGGCACTTTGGTGACTTGACAGAATGTTAGTGGGCGACGTGTGATCACAAACCCCACCGCTACTCCCAAGGCCGCAGAAGACGATCAGTCACAGGTCCGGGGACAAATTACATAGGCTAGGCATGACGAGACAGAGACTCCTTCATCAACAGTCGTAGATCAAATCTAATCAATTAGAAGCAGCCAGCTGGCAGCGGAGTGCAGGCAAGTCAGCAACATTTCCATCCATGGTTTCACCAAGCAGCTGCTTCATACAGACAGTGTTTACTGCTTTAGTGGGTGAATGTACTTTAAGTAGCAGCAGCATTTTGACTCTCTTATGTTCTTATGTTTTTTTTATTAATTTGCCAAATGGATGTATAAAATAAAAGAGAAAGGTTTTGTATTAAAAATGTTCAGCAGTATCAAAGCAAAGCTTTTGTTTCTTCTCTCTCCTGTAAGTTCGATTCACACAGACAATGACAGGAAGCAGTAGAATTGTGGAAATAAAGGGACTGGGTTTCTCTGCAGAACATTCCACCTGCTCCGGCGACCACAGACAGTGTGAGGCTTCACAGGGAGTTGTGGCCAAATCCTGTCTGCTGTCTGTTTCTTATCCGCTCCGCCAGCCTTGCTGTAGCCTGACGAACAACAGCACTCCGAGGAGCTGCCTATGCAAATGTAAATGACTGGGGGTTCAAGTCTTGTGTTTATTTTGGCATGTGATCTGAGGGGCATGAAAATCACTCAGAATGTGAAAAACTTGAATGCAGTCAGCAGCACAGAACACAAGCATACTTCTTGCCTTAAGAGGGCCAGCAAACCATTTAGAGGTCCTGCATGTGTGTGTGGGAGTGGGCTGGGGGGGAACGAAGTTGTAAAGTGTGTTCACTTCTATTCTCCCTCCTGCCTTCCTTTTTGCAGGACACATCACACATGGCAATCACATTCACATACTCCCCTCTTTCACACAGTGGTCCCCGTGGTGGGGCATCGTGGGGCTGCAGACTGATTCTCCAGAATATGACCTAGTTTCTATTCAAATGTGTCTCTCTTTGTTCCCTCCATGGGGGAGGAGGCTATTGCAGCCTGCGGAACAAAGAGCACAAGCAGTGCCCGGAGTTTTCAAACAATCTGACCCTGCCTTCATGTAGCACATCCAGCCCAGAAATGGCTCACGCAGGCTAAGTTGCTCGAGCTCCCGCCGTTGATACTATTCCTGTTTATCTACTTTGATCTACCTCTGCTGCAGATGAGGAAGAATGGGGCCCAGGTCAACCAATGACTCTCTTTGAGATTGATGGGACACATTTCATGTGCAAGTGGGAGGAGAGCCTTATTTGTCAATGTGTGGATCGGAGCGGCAGGGTACAAAAAAATGAATCACAAGGGAGTTTGAAATACTGAACCAGGAATGGACCCACGTGTTACGCCTCCTTCTTTTCTGGAGCACAGCAATTTAAATCTTTACGGTACTTTTCCACATTCCCATTTGTGCTCCCCTCGGCCACTTTAACTGAACACACAACAGGTGTTTTATTTCAAAAGACCATTCCACGGCTTTATTACACCAGAATTTCTTTGTGAAGCGTCTCTAAAAATGTTCAACCAGCTATTGCCTTCTCTCTAATATGTATTTAGCTCGGAATATATTAACTTTCATCCCGGTAATAAGTCATTTTAAACTACAAAATATTGCATTATCATTAGGACCCAAAATATGGAACATGGCCACAGTGAGGATACACATACTTTGAACCTTTGAAGAAAACAAATACATGTTGAGGTCTGAGTGCCCCCTCTGTTTCAAGGAGAACTGGAGATCAGTACAAATATGCAAACACTGTCATTGTGTATAGAATATATTCACCCAGAATTTAAAGACGGACAGAGTCATTCTGTTTTACTGTTGCAAAAATGCACTGGCTGATTTAAAAGCATAAACAGAACCGTCTGTGCGATGTTATTGTGAGATTCTATTTTTCTCCTTTCTTTTTTGAAAACACACTCAGGGTTAGAGGGTCACCAGTAACCGTTTGAAACCCCTGTAGAACTGCACCCACGCATTCCTAACTGGCTCTGACTTCAGAAAATCAAGGAAGCAGCAGCGATGGCCGTGCACCAACAGTGAGCAGCTGTGTTTGTCATTCCTCTCTGTTATAAATGTACCTGAAAACTCAAGTACAAAACCTGTGCTGTGAACACACCATTGAGTATTTAATGACCCAAAGACGACAACTGCCATCTCAAATCCTGCACAGCTGCCATCTCAAATCCTGCACATCTGTAAAAACGCAAAAATTGTGGCAAAGAGGGACATTTTAATAAACAACTGTTGCTACAAAAAAAACAAAACAAAAACAACTGGCAAATGGGGCACAAAATAGTTTTAGGCGTGCTTGTGAAATAGTTGATAATTGAAGGCAGATCTGTGAGAATGTGCAATCTCTACAAATGTTTACAGCAGAAATGACTTGGGACGAGAGCACTCTGGCATCAGAGGCACACAGGCAAAATAAGGATAAGGTGAGAAATGAGGCATGTGAAGCAGGACGGACACCAGAGCCTGTGAGGCATGCTGGTATTCAACAAAAAAGTCAAGCAGGATCCAAGGCGATGCATTGCAAATGTAGAACAAAAACAATCACAAGATTTAGCCATATCCTTGTTATTAACAGAGCAGAATACACATATACTGTATACAGTGACTGCCAATGTGAGTCTAGCTTCTCTGCCTGAATTAGTGCAGCATTTTAAGGTCAGCCTGTTTTGTATGACTTGTCAAGGAACCAGGAAACGCTCAGGAAGCCGGCGTGATGCTTGATGACATCATATTACATACATGGATATTAATTGTCTGGCTATGTGAGTTGGGCCAACTTAAAATAAAAAAGAAGCAACACATGGTCACAGTTAGATAGACACAGCCATGTTTTGGAGTTGCTAATGAATTAATGAAATTAGTTCATAAATCTGTCAGTTTTTCTACACGAAAGAACTTAAAAGTCCACATAGACATTCCACTGATAAACCAGTTACACCATCACAGCCCATTTACGCCTGGATTGGGGTGAAACTAACAACAACAAAAAACAAGCAAAGGTATTGTTTACCCTTAACTACACAGTAGACAGGTGATTAGCACACAAGTAACGATCAAAGAGTGGTCATGTGATAATGATTTTTCCATGTGACCAAGCCCAAACAGAAGCTCTCCTTTGTTAGTTAGCAGTTTCTCTTGTTTCTTAGGAACGCTCTAAGAAACCCCAGCTCTCACAATGCAGCTACAGAGCCTCACCATTAAGAAGAGAACAGAATCTCACCTGCATGTGCTCCGTCGAACTGCTGCTCAGCTCGTCTCCAGACTCTGAATCATTGCGCATCTTACTCAGCCCCTTCCCCGATGGGTCGCTTGGTGAGGGGGTCTTGTCACTGTCTGGACTTCTGATATGGTTGTTTCCAACTTTGGGCGGAGGCGAGTCTGGCCGTATCCGTGGCAGCGTGGCGTGTTGGTGGTTGTTGTTGTTGTGAAGCAAGACCAGCTCGGCTACAACCTTGCAGTGATGAGGACTCCCCAAGTTGTGGTTAGTGTCCTTGACTATAGCTGGAGGAGTGACCCGGTCAGAGGACGGAGAAGGCGTGGAGGAAGGAGACGGACGTCCAAAACTTGTCATTTCAGGCTGCGGCCTGTTGAGGTTTTCATCGGACGCCCGACAAATATCCAAAACGGTGGGCTTCGCCCTTAAGGTGGGCTTCTGTGGGGGCATGAGTGCCCGACGCACTTCCTTAACATACTGTGCTGGCACATAAAAAGCCTTCGTGCCCTCCTCCTTCCTCACCTGCCACCAGTCCTCGTTGGTCTTCTTCACCAGCATGTAGCACTCTCCCTGGCGGATGGCCACCATTTTATCTTTGGCCTTGTACTCGTAGTCATACTCCACCTCGATGTAGACCTGGCCCGGGGCAATAGATAGTCCGTCTTTGTCAGCCATGACTGCTGGAGAAAAAAAAAGCTTGAACTTTGACCTCAAATGTTCAGTGATCCAGGCCTGGGGGACACCGCATGTCGGGCCGGGAATGGGTGGGCTACAGGAAACAAGACAGGTAAAAAGAGGGAGTGTGTTAAAGGCACTTATTGTCTGGGCCGGATCCTGTCATATCCTGTTACTTCAGGTCATGTTTAGTTTTTATAAAGGATATGATAGTCTATACATTTTAAGAGATCAACTTTACTTAAATACCATATACTGTAGGATTGTAAATATTGAAATATCAGTAAAATAATAGTTTCATGTTGTTTTGCCTCATGTCTAAATTCCATAACTTACAAAACAAGTCATCAAATATCAAAAGAAGTCAAAATCCATATACCCACCAATATGATTTTGCTATTTGTCTATGACATGAACACAGATCTGGAGTGTGGAATCTCATATAGAGTATAGGCTTCATAAAATAATACAATCATCTTTTATTTAATAAAGTCTGTTTATTATTTACATGCAAGTGTTTTTTAAAGGCACAAGACTTTGAGTGGGTGTAAACACGGTCTTATCAACCACAAAAACACACTACCATTCATGGTACAAACCTCCTGCTCTGTCACACCTCCGGCATAATATTCATCCCGTCACCACAACCACAACGTGATCCTGCTGTAATCCTCCCACAGTATGACACAATCCAATTCCAGGCAAACATTCTAAAAGAGTCGACTTAGGAACAACCACGGAACTACTGCTGTCCCGGAGCGCCACCACATACAGTCAACACTGATTGTTCTGAAATTCTACACCGGCATCGCTGAGGACATCCAGCAGGGTAACCTGATCAAAGAGGTGATGACAACATGACCCCGCGCACTGATCCTGTATGTGATCAGGTGACCACAAAGACTCTCCAGAGCTTCCCCCTCCCAACCCACTACCTGCATCCAAAAATAAAGTCTGCCTTCTTTCATACAATCTAGTTCATCTGTGTGACATAATTACTCATTAATGCAATTATGAGCCCGAATTGAAAAGTATAAAAATGGACAACGTTAACGTCTGGATTTTTCATGTGCAGTCTGGGTGTCTCGGAGTCGGACAACAGCTGAGCTGCTCGCCATTTTCGCAGGGTTTGTTTTGGGATTTGGCCTGTCATTGATATGTCCGTCTGTAAGAATGCCTCATGGGTTAACCTAAATAAATACCAGCGGTGGGGGCTTCGCAGCAGAGGGCCGTCACTGAGCTGCGTCTCCCTTCATATCAAATTCTACTCCCATCTTCCGAAAATAGCCGCCGCTGTGAAATTATATCCTGGAAGTGCATTGCGGTAAAAGCAGGTGCATTAAGTGAGGCGTGAGAACACACCAATGAATCTATTCTTACGTAAAGAGATATGCACACACTCACACACATGGATGCTCAGACTGGTACTTACACCAGAATAGATGTAGAGTGCTGTGAGTGTCTGAGGGAAGAGTGAAAGCCTGGGGCAGATAAAATGTATAGTCCTAATGATCCTTCAATTGTTTTTTCATCACCATCAAATGCACACAGACACAGGCAGACACAGCGTTACATCACACCAGTGGGAATCTGACGGACGCCAGTCCGGCCTGGAAGCGTTCCAGGACAAGCCTCAGCCATGATGTCAGCAGAGCACGTTGACCGGGCTGCATGAATGACCGTCTGTCATCGAACAGCCTCTGTCTGTTTCAATTAGTGCGTTTGCAAGAATTCGCCATTAGCCGTCAGACTGTCAAGTCACAAACACGACAATGGCTGTGTCAGTGACGTGGATTCACAGCAACCGCGCTAAACTCATCACAGCAGATTGAGTCAAACAAATACTGTCAAATCTGAGATTTGTCCTGTGTGTGGTATTTGAGCTTTTAATATGAATAAAAACTACAAATGAGATAAACTGCAGTGTTTGCTGGATTACTAAATAAATCCATTAACAGCTGCTTTCTTTCATTAAATTCTAAAGTCAGAGACACTAGGCAGTTAGCCCAATTCCTTGGGCACCAACAAATATTGGATTTCACTTTCAATTATTTTTAGTTGGCCTATCAGGGCCTGTCAACAAACTTGAACATTTACAGATTAAAATATCATCATGACTGTCAGAAAAAAAAGCTAAAAACTGCTCTGTTTTTGCAGACAGGAAAGCACATCACAGTGCAAACGACCATAGATCTGTCTAGGATCCTGTTCCTCTCAGGGTGCCCACTCTTTTCCTCAAAGCATATCCCAGGATATTTTCAGCTCTTACAGCACAACAGACAGGTAATCCTTTCATACGCTAAAGTATCCAATAAACTGTTTTTCTAATGAGTTGAAAGGTGTTGCTTCCCAAGGTTTTCCCTAAGAGAGACATTTCTACACTGCTATCTGCACTGCTACTAGTAAATTCCCATATGATCTGAAGTGGAAGACATCAGTTTCAGTATATATTGTTGCTCTTTGCAACAAAATAAAAACAGGCCTTGCAAACTGGTCTGCAAAAGTGCAGGGTCTAATCCTGTCTTTTAATGATGTCAATAAACAGTTGGACCAATCACAAATTGTCATCACAGGGGCTGAGGAGCCACAGGTTGCAGACCCTAACCTAGGAGAAATAGTTTTCTCCATTTTCTACCCATAGTTTCTCATGCCATTCCTCAGTTTCCCAGGTTTTCCAGGATGTGTGGGAATCCCAAATAAGAAGATAAATGAATTAAAACTGTCAAGAACCTCAGAGAGAAGACAGCAGGAAACAAAGCATGATCCGACTGGCCCCGGCAGATTTCAAATGAGAGTCATGGTGACAGAGTGGCTGTTAATCACAGATTGAAACCGACTCGTAGACACAATAAAACTGGTCTCCCACCTTCCTTCAGTTTTATCAAGTCTAGTATCTGTGCAGAGTTTTGGCAGGTGGCCAAGCTGAGAGACGACGGGAGAATAAATCTGACTGCAGTTGAGTTTGTGAGGTGAGGAGGGCAGCAGCCAACTTGTTGCCGAGTGGAGACGATCATCGCTGGTTCCTTTTCCTCTGATTGCTGTCATTTGTGCTGCTGTTATTTATATGTGCGGCTGTAACCGCGGGGCTAATCTAATTTCATCCACCGAGGGAGGTGTCTTGAGACAAAATGACAGTTAGTAGACACTTAGTCTTGTCCCCAAGCCCAGAATAATGCTCAGAGGGGAGCGGGACTTTGCACCTGCAGCCCATGAACTCTGGATCCAGCTGCCTTTGACTCTAGAACAATCTTTTCATATTTTTAAGCCTCTTTTGATAACACCTTTTGTTTTCTTCTGCCTTTGATACAAAAGAAGATTATTATCCAACTGCAAAACCTGGTCTCCGTTGGTGCTTTGGCTACCAGGGGAAATAACCTGAAGAAAATGGTGAATTGCTGCCTCATGTTTACCCAAAGGAACTGTCAGCAGACCAGAAGATTCACAGCTTATTGATTAGCATTATATCCCAGTACATGTGGTGTTTAAATCACTGCACACAGTCCTGCTGCTGGCGTCCCACTGTTTGTGGTGCAGAGTGCAACATGTAGAAATCAATGTTATTAAACACTGGACCAGTTGGCAACATGAGACAACAGTATAACATCAGCAACAAGGGCCAAACACACACACTCACAGATCACAACCTGTGTATTTACGCGCGTGTTGATCTGCAGACCAGATGCTGAGGCTCCTGAGCCTTTGTCCCTGCTCTTCATTTAAAACAGATGTGGCCGAGCAGCAGCAGCAGCATCCACTCATGCAGTAGCTGCTGCTGCTGCTGTGGGAACAGCAGCCTCTGCTCACTCTGATGTGTGCGTGCGTGCATGTGCGCGGTGTCGCCACAGACAGCATGCAGCCCGGGGTGGAGGTGAATGGGAGGGAGGACATGGGTGGGGGGCAGGGTCCTGCACACACGCACATACATTCGCACGCGCGCGCGCGCACACACACTGGAAAACAGGCTGGAGAAATACAAAACAAAGGGCTTTAATCCATGTGCTTTAAAAACAAAGCTACCCCGACATTATCCCAGGTTCCCCGGGAGCGAGGGAAGGGTCGGTCAGGGACTCGCCTGCCTGCCTGCCTGGGGAAGACCTCCCAGCGCGGCTACAAATTGCCAAACACTGTGAGGAAATGAGCTCCGCAAATCCGATGCTATCACGTGGAATGTTTAATTACCTAACTGTAAACACGTCGCTCCTCGGTACGAACATTTAAAAACAAACAACAACTGTGGTTTGCAACATTTGTTTTGAAAACAATCCCAGAGCAGCGGAGCTCGGAAACAAAAACGCTGCAGGTTGACTGAAATACAAAGCGTCCTGTCTGCAACAGCGTGCATGGCAACAAAGTAAGTCCGACACAAGCCAATAGTCTGCGGGAGTGAGAGGGAGTGTGAGCAGGAGAGGGGAGACAGTGGACTGGGATGAATTGCACCAACCTGTAAACACTGCAGCGGAGTCTGTCCTTGTCTTCTGTGCTCTGAGAGCAGCGGCTGCAAACAGTGAGTCCGTGAGTGTCCACAGCTGCAGCAGCCGCAGACCTGTCTCTAAACTCCACTCACTCTCTCACTCCCTGGTTTGTTCCCAGTCCCCCTCCTCTCAGAGTACAGTCAAGTCAGATGTAGCGATATTGTGACGCACATCCGCCTATGACCTTTAAAGTAAAAGTAAAAGTAGCTGCAAACAAAACACCCTGCAAGACAAATGAGCAGAAGTGGCGTAGCAAATAAAACACCGACATTATTCAGACCCATTTTTGATAATTGATGTTTACATTTCACACGTATCTTATATTTGTCCCGTGACCAGTGTTTACATTTAATAATATGCAAATATTTTCTGATAATGAATGAATATTTATATTTTTCAAAATACTGACACATTTCCGATAAATATTGTTTACATTTTACATTATTCCGACACATTTTTTAAATCAGTCTCTACTTTTTCTCTACTTTTTTTTGCAGTATTCCAACACTTCACACATTTATACATCATTAAATATTTCGGTATTAAGAGGGTGTTTTTCCTTTGTTTTTGTTTTATCATCCTTTTTTATTTTCTTAATGAAATCTTTAAAAAAACGATTATATATTTTCCACATTCTCTTGTTAAAAGTATGTAGATGGAAATGTTTCATATCATCCGAACTGCCGCATCAGCAGTGTATGCTGAATAAATAGATCGGCGTTTGTTGTGAAAGTAAATTTACGCAGTTTCCGGTTTGTCTCAGCTTTATCTCTTTCAAACTTGTCACTTGTCTCCTCTGTTAAACAACCCAACAAACGCTGTTTACTTTCTTCTTCTTGCACCTTACAGCACGCCCAGAACTGTTCCAGAAACCCACACGGTGCTCAAAGAGGCCCCAGAGAACCCTGGATATTTAAAATCTTTAAAGTCTGTTTTATTCCTTAGATATCCCTCCAATAAATAACCAACAACCCAGTGTCTCCTGGTTCTCACTAGTATACTATTTGTATTAAAACCTCACACTATTTAAGCCATGTTGGCCAATATAATTATGCAGGGTAAACAGTAACCCCCTCCACAGCCTCCTCTCAGGGAGTCTCCTCCTTCCAAGCAGCAACATGAATGATTTAGTGCTGAGATGATCCAAGAACACTGGCTTCAGAGGACACTGAAATCAGCCTCAGGCACCAAGGCTGCAGAGGGAAGAATAATGAATGAATACCCGTCATAAAATTTAAATATTTTATTTCTTATTGTGTTTGAAGAAAGACATTTTGTGTAGAAGCACACACACACGACACACCCCGTGATGGGCGAGTGACAGGCACTGATAAGAACTGATTCTTTAAGGGTTGAGATTCTTAAAAAAAAAAAATATTATAATAATATGGCTTTTTTGTTACACTGTTTTTACCACAGTAATTGCAAGTCAATTTGAAGCTTAATTAAGCATAGTTATGAATGTGAGTGTAAATTGGGTCTTTGTGACCCTGTGATGGACTGAGATATAATTTTTTGTTTGTTTCTTTCTTTCTCTGATGCCAGCCATACCTCACAGCTGCTGGTCTACAAAGACAAACACACCACACTTGTTCTTGTCTCGGTTTATTAACTCTGATATTTAAAACAAAACAAAATCTTTACTATTGTTGTATTATGTATTAACTTTTTTGTAGACTTGCTAAAGGCGTTGACCCTTCACTGACAGTCCTGTGAAACGCCTGAGCTTGTTGATCTGGGTGTTTGCAGTAGTGTCTCATATCTACGATAATCATATTCACTCAGTTACAGTTATTCAGAAAGGCTAGTGGTAATAAATAATAATAAAGAAAGTTCGCTAACGTCATACTGGAGATATTTACGAAATAAAGTTAACATATAAAGGAGCTTCGGTCCCACAGCTTTCTGACATGAGTTTAAAAAAAGTCAAAAGCCGTTTAGGACATGGAGTGTTGTTTTAAAGACGGAGCAGAAAAACTTTAAAAATCGAAAAAACTAATGCTTGTGATGGACATGGACTGTACTCTCATCTGCACACAGTCAGAACCTGCAACTATGTGAAAACAAGTACAATTCTGGAGAAACAAATATTAGAGAAAAGGGTTATTCTCTCTCTCTCTCTCTCTGTCCAGTTCTTTGTTCTGTGAGTCAGTTAAACACCACTAAAGACACAAGGCAATAAATATATCTTGGCTTCAAATGAACATTATCACTTTTTTTCTCACTTATACCTTCTTTATCTCTCTTTTTCAACCACACCCCACTCTCTCTCTCTCTCTCTTTCTCTCTCTCTCTCTCTCTCTCTCTCTGTCTGTCTGTCTACAGTGTGGCAGATTCCTGCAGCAGCTCCAGATGGAAGATCAGAGCTCTGGTCCTTGGCTTGAGGCATGTTTGATGGAATTCTCAGGAGCTGTTTAGAAAAAATAAAACAGGTAACATGTGGATGCTGATCATAAATGACAAATGTATGAAGATGACATATAGGCTAGACCTGTTGGCATTGGGGACCAGAGGAGCACCGGGTAGCTGTCCTGGTCTGATGGGCTTGGCTGGTTGAGACACAGAGAAGATATTAACATGACAAACAACAAACGACACACAGTATAGTGTTAATGACCAGGAGGTACAAGTGTTGAAGAATGACTTATTTATTTATATTCCCTATACTGTAGTGCTAGCTTTAAAATGTATTGGTAAAATGAATTCATGTATCCCTAGTACTTCGTACTGTACTACTTTAATAGTATTTAGACTTGGTATTTGGACTCACCTATATGAGCTGAAGCTTTGCGATTCACACTCTGGATTTTGATCGTCTCCTTTATCCGCTCCACCTCCTGCTCATAGCGCTTCCTGTCACGGGCAGCGTTCTCTTTGGCCTCCTTTAAAGCAGCCTCCAGGGATTTGACCCGCTCAGCAGTGGCCCGCAGACGCTTCTCCATCTTAGGAATCTCACAGTGGAGGTCAGCATTGTCACGCAGCAGCTGCACACAATGAACCAGGATGACTTTAGGGTTTGTTTTTATTTTTCATTCTGTAGTGCAATTATCTTTGTGCAACCTTTACCTGCTTATGAACTTTAGACAACTGCTCAAGGTTGTTCTCCAAGAAACTGATTTTCTGTTTCTGGGCCACGGTGATCTCCATCTCCTCTGGGTCTTTTTGAGCATTCTGGAAAACAAGGGAAATGAACATAAAGAAGAATAAAAACACCACAACTTTATCCAACTCACCACAGATAAGGAGGATAAAAAAGAACTGAAAATACTGTATAACATAGGCCTTCAACAGGGGGTTTTGCTACCTCTAGTGGTTATGAAGAGGTACTGCATAGAGGGTTGTGAATTAGACTCTTTTTTCCCCACCAATTGAAATGTTTTAAATAGCACATTGATGTTAATCCTGATATATTAATATACTGTGCAAGACAACAAGGTATGTTAGCTATATAAATCGTAGTGGCACAACATTAGCCCCAGCTGGAATTAAAACCCTGGTTTATACTGTATATATGGTCAGGGTCTCTCCATCAGTTTGAATGTCTTTGGTCTAAAAAACAAGTTCAGATGGTTCCCACTTTAGGAACTACAGGATTAAACCACTTATTTGGTGAACTACAGTATATATGTATGTGTTTAAAAATAATCTTACAAATACATAAAGTAACATATATTATAAGGTTTCAGAAACAACTTAAAACACAGATTTAGTTTAGACTCAGGGCTGAGGGCAGGAATTGAACCGACACTTAGGATCCTAATTTTCTTTTGCTGCCTTTGAAGACTCAGATGACCTACTTATTGCAGACTCTTTGTGTTACATTCACTGAATTCATTAAAATTTCAACATGGTGCAAATTACAGGCAGGGAAGTGAGGGCGAGTTGTGGGGCTGCTCATTTCATTACAGTGGGAAATCAGTTGACTGGAGCAACAACAGCACGTGTGATTTTACTTCAGATTCATCCTGGGTCATATTTAAACTCTTGAACTAAGAGGTTTTACCTTTTTGACTCTTGTCGATAAGTCTTGGACAAATAGTCTCCTCAGGCTGTGAAGCGTCTGCAGCTCCCGCGTCTGTGTGGGGGGAAAACAAAAACAAAACAGTGCTCAGAAACATTTTACTATTAAAGCTCCCAGTTATATATAAACAAGAGAAAACAAACAAGCTCAAGCTTATATTTATTAAATTCCTCAACGCAATAGTGACAGGCAGAACAATCAAATACTCTTCCTGTGCGTCTTTCTTCAATTCCTGCAGGTATATCAGCTATGTGTTCAACTAAACAGGCCACATTTTCACACTAAGGAGTAAACTGGGAGTACATCGTTATATTTATATTGGGGGAAACATACTTAGTATGTTTCCCCCAAGGGGGATGAATAAAGCCCTACTCTACTCTACTCTATTTCATTACATTTACTTTTTGTGACCTTTTTATTTAGTGGCTTTAAATAAAGTTAGGAAAAAATATATTTCTAAATAAATTTGCATATACAGTTCATATTGGATATCTGGGGGGGAAGTATTTACAGAATTATTTGTGTCATCTGGGTTAAATTAACACTCGTCCACATATATATTTGAATAAAAACTGCAACCACTAACCACTGTTTCCTCCAGTCCTTTCAGGTCCTGACTGGCCTGCTCCTGTTTTTCCAGCAGCTCCCTGCACAGTACGACATGGATGTTACTCAACGCACAGAATATTAAGGGAAACAATTAAGGGAAACAACAGACTTATACCGTATGACATATCTAATCAAATAAAACCAACAACTGCTGAACAGGTTTATATTTTCCTCATTTCATCACTAGCAGGTACTTCATAATATCTATCTGTATAAGGCAGACTACTACGTTAGCTCCTGCAGCTGACGGCTCTTCTCCTGGTCGGTGGCCCGCAGTTTCTCATGCTCCACTTTCAGCCTCTCCTGCTCCAGCATGATCTCCTGGTTCAGACTGCACACATGTCAGCAGCAGAGTCACAGTCAGACGTGGGCTGTGAGTATCACTGAGGCAGAGACCTACTAAGTGATGCTGTCTTACTCCTGCAACTCTGTGATGAGTTTCTCCTTGCTGTCCAGCTCGTCTCTCAGGCTGCTGATCTGCCTCTTGTGAGCCTCTTTGTGGGACTGGATCTGCTTCTCCACAACATCCTGATTGGACAGCAGCAAAAAAATCAATTAAATCGAACAATTTTCAAATTTTAATCTCATCATCTCAAAGTTGCACAACGAAAAAACTAATTCAATTGACATTTCAGCACATTCCTTTAACAGTAGTTTAGGGTGAGTTAACCCTACTATAATATTAGTTGCATTTAGAGTCCATGTCTTTTTTCACAGCTAGCTGCTAAAAACAATACAAGGATGGAAACTGTACCTTGAAGCGTAATCCTGGGATCTTTACTTCTTTGACAGACTTCTTCTCCATTGCATTTACTTTCTCTGCAGGAAAATACATGACAAACACAACATCAAAGATGAATTACAATCTACCAAAGCTTCCTAACCAAATTGTCTGTGTCCATGTATCGGCTTACGGTCTTTTTATCCTGTGCACCCCGACACCATGAGAAACAAAAACCAAATAAGTAGGGAAAAGATAGCAAAAGGACACTGGCTTAGATGTGGACTGAAGTTGATGAGGAGTTCAAAAGGTCAAACGAAACTCTAACTCTAAATCTAACTCTTATCATAGTCTGATTAACTCACTGAATGAACTGATTAGTGCCCCACTGTCATTCCCGCCTGTTCAAAGCCTCTCATTAAAGACACATAGATTTTCTATTGTGTGCTGTTTACATACGTTAAGAAAATTGAAGCAGGAAACTGGGATCGTTCCTGCTTTTCCTGGTCTCTGTTTGTTGTAGTTTTGTCAAGTAAAATTATAAACCAATGTCATGGTTGTCAGCCTTTATCATTAGCTTCAATTATCATCCCTGCATCTTTATAATCCCTTTGAAAATTTTGAAATAGTACTAGTATACAGTATGTAACTGAATCAAAAACACTTTCAAACCTCTGTGACCCTCAGTAAAGTAGTGTCACTGCTGCACTTGTTCCCTCAGGGGTCACTAAAGCGCACCATCTGTTGCATCAACTTCTGGATGTTCTACTTTTGTTCTCCATTGAACCACTGAACCTTTCAAAGCTTCCTAACTGAGGCCGAGCCACAGTCAGTTGTGCTCACCTTCAGCGTTGATCCTGACTATTTCCTCATTGAGAGAGTCTACCGTGTCCTCCAGCTGTCTTTTCCTCTGCTCTACATTCAGGAGGCAGTCTGACAGAGACTTGATTTTAGCTTCATGCTGCACGAAGACAGACGAGAACAAATCATTAAGAATCCAACGTGGTTAAACCCACAGAGTCAGCAGGTGGAGCTGCTGTTTAATTAAAAACAAACGATCTGGGTTTTTAGTTAAATGCTACATGTGTCACCATGGCGACATGATGGCGGAGGGAGCGGCGGGCAGCTGTTACCTGGGAGATGCGCAGCTGGCAGGTGGTCAGCTCTCTCTCTGCCTCAGCCATCTTCTGGGTGCTCTCAGCCTGGGAGCTCTCCAGCTGTTTGCTGCGCTTCACCATTGTCTTCACCTCAGACTTCATTTTACTGATGTAGAGTCGAGCTACGGTGAACTCTTCATCGATGTGACCACTGCCCTCCTGTTGCTGAGGAGACAAAAACATTCTTATTTCCCTGTACTTGAATGGATCCGGTCTTGTTACGATTGCCAGACATCAGTAACAAAAACACTGACATTTTTTTAATTTTTGTTTTTATTTCATGTTAGTCATGCTGAACATGTAACCTGTGATCTTGTTACGATTGCCAGACATCAGTAACAAAAACACTGACATTTTTTTAATTTTTGTTTTTATTTCATGTTAGGCAAACACCAGATTAAGACCAAGACTGTTGACCTTGATGTCGTTGTTTCCCACAGCGATGCCGATCTCAGCCAGGTCTTTCAGTAATGATGACATCATCTCATTGACCCTCTTCTTCTGGTGGTTGGTCATTTCCTTCAGCTTCTGCAGCTCAGAGTCAATGGAGGCCAAAGAGCTCTGGTGGTAGATGTTGACCACAAACACTGTTGTAACAAAATGTTGGCTGCGATGTCAACGCTTCCGCAGCGTGTAGAAAGGAAAATGTATTTACCGATTTCCGGTTCAGCTCCTCACTGAGGGCCTCAAACTCTTTCGTTTTGTCCTCTACCTCCTGGCTCTTCTGGTCATAGTTGACGGCTAGCTCCTCCAGAGCTTGCAGCACCTCCTTCACCTCCTCCTTAGAGGCCTCGTTCTCTGACAGCAGCCGGTTTAGTTCCGTCTGAAGGTTGTCGTGGTCGCGGCGGGAGGAAGTCAAAAGCTGTGGAGAAAGTAGATAAAGAAATGTATTTACTCTCTAATTTTTGCCAGTGAGATAGGGTTGGAGGGGGGAGGAAAAAGGCAGTAAATATAAAGGAAGGGCAAATGTGTCACCTCCTCTTGGTCCAACATCTGCTGCTTCAGTGTCTCCAACAACTGAGACTGTTGGTTAATCTCTTCATCCTGAAGGTGACAAAAAAGAAAGGAGAGATTAGAGAAAGACAGAAGAAATCCTTCATCCACTTTCACTGCAAGTCTGCGCCCTCTGCTGGCTCAAAGAAACAATGCAAATAAGACAGAGCACTAGTATTTTATACGTTTTCATACTGACCTGTTTTTATAATGTAATGACAAATAACTTTAAAATCAAAAACTTTGGTCACAGTCAAAAGTTAATGCATTTTTACATCAAGTCAATTCATCTCTGACCAATAACATCACGTTACACGTGTCAACAACCATGTGTGTCAGCAGTGTCACATGTACAGTTACAGTTCATCAGTTCCTCTTCAGACCAGGGTCAGCTGTTCACCTTGTCATCCATCTCTTTGTACAACTTGGCCATCTCTGCTGCACACTTCTCCTTCTCTGCGTCTGTGAACTGGACCACGGGCAGGCTGCTGAGAGCTGCTGTGGGAGCTGGCTTCTCGTTGTTGACGGCACTGTCCAGGTCCAGGACCTCCGCTTTGGCCTTCTCCTTATCAAACTGTTCTTCTGCAGGAACACGTTCCCCTGTCAGGGAAAAAAGAGACGATCATCTATGTGTGTATGTAATCCAAAATGTTTGAATCCCACCTCATCAACAACACTTCTCCATATTCTACTTTAAAAATCTGCCCCACATTTTTGCTCTGGTTAAAATAATTATCTCTGATCTTGGAAATGGTGGAAACTAGGGCAGAGAAGAGCTGCGATATCTGCTGTCGTGTGACACAAAGACACTGGTCTCTCCAGTTAGTCAGTATGTACTGTGTGTGCATACAAGGCCTCTGTTATTGGATATTATGGGTGTTTGGATGGATGGATGGATGGATGGATGGACGGATGGATGGAAGGATGGATGGATAGATGTCTTGAAGGCCAAACTATATCTGTACAGCACATTTCGTGTGACATCCATGTATGAAAAATGCTCTATACCTAAATAAAGTTTAAAGTTGAAACTTCTCTTTCTCACCATTCCTCCACCGGTTGACCTCATTCTCCAACAAGATGACTGAGTTCTTCAGCGTCTTGTTTCTTTCCCTTTCTTTCTCCCACTTGCTCTTCCACTGCTCTGCGGTCAGCTCCACGTTCAAACACACATTGTTCTTTATAGTCTTTGCCCTGGTGAAGCAGAGTCATGTCATGGTTACTGGTTTAGGCCTTCAGCTTGGAAGGAAGGCCTGCCGTTATCTACCAAGCTGTGGTGTGTGTACCGTTGTCCAAACTGCAGTGTCGTTTTGGTCTCTGCGTCATTAAAGGACGAGGGCGAGCAGCAGATGACCATGGTGGTCCGACAGTTCCCGCCTAATGAGTCCTGCAGGATCCTGGTCATTTTACTGTCTCTGTATGGAACGTAGGCCTGACAGAGGATACAGGTAGAGTATGACTGATGGGGTTGAAATCCTTAAGTTCATGTACTTTTGGCTACACAGTGTAGTTATAAGATACTGTCAAAAAAAGCCTCAAACTGAAAAAGTGTCTCACCGATCCCTCCGCCAGAGCTGAGATGACGATTCCAAGTGCAGACAACGACTTGTTGATCATCTTAGCTTCATCCAACACTGTGCCCTCCGCTCCCGTCTTACCCACCTGTGAGGAGACATTATACAGTACATACCTAGTACATGGCATAAGTTAACTCAATATTTTCCTGACACTTTAAACTATAAAGTAAAGATTGGATAAGGAATAACAGGTCATTGGAAAATTTGGGAAAACTAAATCATGTTACTCATGTATCCCCTGAAATGTACAGTATCCTATATATGTCAGGGTGAAGATATTAATATACTATAGAGCGAGAGATAGATAGAGAGAGGGTGAGGGTTAGAGAGAGAGAGAGAGACATACTTTTTCGCACCCAGCCAGATCAACCAGGTAGAGTTTTCCCGTCATTTTCTGCTCAGTCTGAGTGTTTTCCTGTTTGATGTTGATGAGGAAAATGCTGTGACTTCTGGAACTGTGTTCATTCATGTCTGAAACACACACACACACATACATTAAGACACACATAACATCAATATTATCCACTGTTGTTGTGAAAGTGATTATAAAAAAGTGTCCAAGCTGCTGGGACAGTAAATGATGGAGAGAATTCATTTCACATGTGAGATCAAATGTGAGATCTGTTCGATGAGATAAAGAATATTGATTGTGTTTCGTTCATGCTCAAGGACCAGGTCAGCTTTCAGGGAAAAAGGAGTCTGATCATCCAATCACGCTACTCCAATCCAGTCATCCAAAGTGAGTGCGTGGTACGTGGGAAAATATTTTTTCCTACTCTGTTAGTAAAATAATATAGATACAAAACAATAAGAACCAAAAAAGACTATTATTAAAGTAACCAAGTAAATTATCCTCTTTTTTAGTGATTGGCTGTCTGTCTGTCGTGCCTGTGGTTCTCGGAGCGTTCCATGACTTCAGTGGTAGTACGGTGCCCTGTAAAAAGTCCGTGAACCACCGTTTGAATTAATTCCTCCTCTTTCTCACATCTCTGACGATGTGTTGAGTTGCAGTCTTTTTGCTTGTGGGAGACGGGCTGCGGTCAGGAGACTCAGCGGGACGGAACCCATGAGAAGAGCCCAGTGTATGAACTTACTTGTGACAGCCACGTGTCTGTTGTTTTTTCCTTCATCTATGGCGTCCATGACCTCCTGAGGACTGCACACAAAACGCTCAGTACACCCCTGGGGACATATGCATCACAAGGAGACGCTGTGTTAAGGAGGAGGGACGGCTTCACAAAGGACTTACTTGCTTATTAACTGATCCTGTCTCCCTCTTCTTTATAATTATAAAGTAAACTTGAATACATTTAAAAATCAATTAACCATTAATTAATGTCAGGAGATTACATGAAGACCACCGTGAGTCCTCTGAGGACCACAGTGGAGCTGTTGTCCCAACGTGTGCTCCTTTATAACGTTCATAGCTAATGCATTACAGGAGGAAGGGGAGCAACTTGTGACTGTGGCACCGTGAAACTGAAAGAATGTTCACACCTAAAAATAAAACTGCTCATCGTGACGTTAAACCTCCACGTCTCACCTTGACAAAGGGCACTCTGTTTTTATCCTCGTGTACAGAGAGGTTCCTCTTTGATACTGTTCAGAAAAAAATGGAAAATTATTAGAATAGTATAAATAAAAGTTGCCACCAGGCGGCCTGAATGATTAAAGATTGGAAGGAAAGGGAAAACGTACCGTCCAACAGGTCCCGGATTTTGTCTAAATAAATTTCAAAATAGGAAACCTGTGAGGCAAAAAGCCCTGATAAGACTTTAACCAACACTCGCTGTGGCACTGAAACATAGACTGGAGGCATTGGATCGAGAGAGGAAACATACTTTGATATGTAACTCCAGGTTCTCATCCATGGAATGGATGTGATTGAAGATGTCGTGAACAATTCTGGGAATGATTCCCATCATGTCTGGATTGTGGAGGTTCCCCTGTAGGAGAAGAACGGTGAGAAAACATCATAAAAACACCCCAGTGTGTAAACATCCATGTTACCTCCATGGTGTGAGTTTTGCCCGAGGACGTCTGCCCATAGGCAAATATCGTTCCGTTGTATCCCTCCAGCACATCTGCACGCAGAGCAGACACAGAGAAATTAGCTTTGGAGGCATTTTCGGTCAGCCAATCAGAGAGTGACTCTTCAAACTTCCTGCTCACAGCAGTAAATACCTGTTCAAGACCACTTAAGTTCATGTTTTAGCAAACATACTGATTGTCCGGAAGAGTAGTGCACTGGTGATCAGCCATTTTTGAATAGTAACACAACCTAAACATATTGCATATACCTGCAGATAATTTAACAGGCTTTTAAGAATAAATGGTTTGTTTATTTGTAGCGGTTGTCCCTGGCCTTACACAGTGAAGGTGTTTAATGAGGCTATTAATGGATCAATTACCTTTAACGATCTTCTGAGCCACCGCTTCGTAGAACTGCACCTGAGTGGTGTCGGACTGGAATACAAGATCAAAGTAGTACGGTTTACCCTGTGGGAAAGATATTTGAAATGTTTTAAACAGAAACAGGAATTCATTTTTATCACATATATATATATATATATATATATATATATATATATATAATAACATCAAGTCAGTGAAGTAATGTGTACGTGTATGGACACTAATGTGTCTGATACAGTCAGAAAACTGCAGACTCAAGTTTGTCTTTATAAAAAGTCTCGTTATTAAGACAACATTTCTCTGGATCACTTCTCTTGCTTAAGGCTGAAAACACAGTTTTTATTGTTACAGCAAATCAGTGTGGTGCTAAAATTAGATGGCGAGTGCAATGCTAACAGAAACATTGGGATTTGGAGACTAGTTGGATTTTAAAACCGGGACCATCTTGCGTGACAATGCCCCCTGTGGGATCGTAGTATTTATTGAATTATTTAATGACTCCTGATCATGTTTTTATTGCTCTTTACAATCTGCAAACTGATGGGTGTAAATGACAATTTTATTTACTTCTTAATTTCTAACACTGACTTCTTAATGCTACCAATTGTTATTAAACCATTTTATTTATGCACGTGAAGACATTTTACATTGTGTTGATTGTTATCCAGCCTAACGGTATTAAAACCATGATCGTCATGAGAGCATGTGGCCCAATTGCAATTAAAAGAAATGGAGAGGAGATTTTTACTAGGAAATCCTCAGGAAGTCACAATTTCCATCGCTCCCAGTGGCTGTGCATCAAAGCGTCACTTATTTTGCCCTATAGCAGAGCAACAGCTCGCTGCACTGGTGTCCACTAACATCAGCTAATGACTGGCTTCTGGCAAAAAAACCTATGTCAGTGTGTGAACTGTGTTCAGTTGGTCTCATTTACACTACGTACTGTATGTGTATTGAAGGAGTTTTAAAAAAGAATTCTAACAGTGGACGGTGACACGACTTTATGAAATTATTTTAAACCTGTGCTTATGCTTTATTAAATTAAGTCACTGAAAGTTGAGATTTTATAAAATATGGAGGGATGTCCGATATTAACTTTTTGCCGATATCCAAAATGCCAAATATTATTATAATATATCCAAATATTGTCCAAACACTTAAATCTTCAATTCCAATTACTATTGATACTGATATAGGCCTGGTAAAATGTATTTATTTATCCGTACAAAATACTGTATGAGTATGCGATTAATTAAATGAGCTACAATGCTGCCATCTAGTGACCTTCACTTTAATATACAGCCGTTTGTCCCCAAAACTATTTTACTACTAGCTACTAGCTATTAACCAGTGTATTACATAATATGCAAAAATATCGGGCGATAATATCAGTTGGCTGAAGGACTTGAATAAAGGACTTGTTAATCTTAATTGAAGAAAGTGCAAAATATCTTTGCAGACTTTTGAGCCGAGTCCAAGTTCAAGTCTGATATTCTAATACTCAGTATAACAGTATAACTTAAGTCCAAAACATGAGTACGGTAGGCCAGACCCTAAAATACACAGAGGCTCCAGTAAACGTGGAATACTACTAGGTATTCATAATTCCTTTATTTAAAAAAGATAGCAATGCAACCGACCGCAAACAACGAGAAGCTTTCCCTTTATAACAAAAACATCGCGCACTTAAAAAATCCAGTGCGATTAAAACTTACGTTGAGCTCATGAGACGTTTAAATGTCAGAGTACTTTAACAACCAGGATTCGCTTGTGCGTAAAAGCGCAAAATGTCCCGTTACGCACAACTTTACCTCTACCCGTAATTATTAGATCTGTATTACAATGATAAATAATATTTCATTTAAGGCACACAAGTCATTAATTGTCAGAATTCTTTTTAATAGACACAGAGGACGACAAAAAAAAAAAAACCCCACCGTCACTCACTATTTGTGCGTAAATATGTTTATATTTGAGATGTGACAAAATAACTGATTTATTTTGTCGACGGATCGAGTTTAGTGTCTTCGATGTACGTTTACAAACATTGATTTAAAAAAAGCATATGGTTTACCGAAGTTCACACTCACCGCGATCTGCACGCAGTCATTGCCCTTAAATTTCGGGATGTACTTGTCTCCACGGGCCACCTCAGAACTGTTCAGCGGCCTGAAACGACACACCACCTTGATGTTACACTGGGCCGCGTCCCCCATCTCTCAGTCTCCGCTTTGGATGGATGGGTGGACGGAAGGATGGGTGGATGGCTGAATGGAAGGATGGGTGAATGGATGAAGCGCCCAAGCTATGAGTGAAGCAGCAGCAGCAGCAGCAGCCAGTAGGAGGCCGCGCCCCTCATACAGATGCTGCTGCTCCTCGTCCACTGAGTCTGGAGTAGTCCTTTAAAACAATTATTATCCAAGCTGACAAAAATCAAAACTGCTCATTTATTTACTGTTGTGTTACGAATTATACAACACAAGCCTGAATTTATACAGTGAGCTTGTGTAGTGTAGTGAATGGTGGAGGCAGAGAGGAGAAAAAGAAGTTTAACACCGAAACATCCAACACAGAACTCCTTTGTTGGATCCCAAGCGATGATTCCAGTGGATGAGTGCTATTCATAGGGTCATGTTGAATTCCTGTGATCATGTAGGTCATATTTGTGGAATAATAACTCAAAGTGTGTACATTTGAATGTGACTTTTTTCTGTCTGAGCATAGATTTTTCTGCTTTATCCAAACTACTCATGTTGGCAACCCGTTCTTGAACAGGTCACACGATGAAGGTCACATAAAACTGAATTCAATGCTAAACAACTTTCTACACTGGGCTATGGCAGTGGTGCTCAAATGGAGATACGTGTACCACTAGGGGTACTTAAAGGCACTTCAGGATACACAAGAGTAAATATTAAAAATAATTATATTGAAGGAAATGTTCAGTTTGGTATATTTATTATAATCCATAAGGAGGATTTTATGTTATTTAAATTTGTATATTTAAATGTATTTTATGCGCACAAATTTTAATATTATATTCAAATAATGAAATAAAAAAAGTTAGCTTTATAGGCGGTTCCAGCAGACATTAGTGTATGACTGTTTAAATGTATTTTGGATAATTTCTTCTCAAGTGTTTTATATTTTGGTGTTTAATTTTTGCTCTTTGTCCCTTCTTTAGTCCTTAAGTCTTTAGTCCGTCAGAACACATGGGTTCGAATTCAGCGGCAAAATCATGATGTTTTCCACAGACAAGCAGATGGGCTGGCAGTGTTTCTGAATGAACTTGTTCGACCTGAGGGATCCACAGATGGGTAGGTAATCGTCACGCGCAACATAAACAAATTAATATCGTAAAAGAAAGGAGAGAACGGCCAGAGAAGAGTTTTGTTCTCAACCTTAAAATTAAATAATAAAGTCATCCAGGTCATAGTCAAGGTTGAAGAGTTCCGTTAGGCAACTGGATGTGAAATTTTCTCAAGAAGACGTTTTGCTTCTCATCCAAGAGGCTTCTTCAGTTCTAACTGGTGGAGGGGAATACAGCAAATATACCCTGTTGGGTGGGCCGTTGGAGTCATGTTAACAGTCATTATAAGTTTGATGGGTCGTTGTAATCCCCTGTCCTAGCCCACCTCCACTGTTGAGTGAAAATTTCATGTCCAGTTGGCTAACAGAAGTCTTCAACAAAGAAAAGAGTTATTGTTTTCCTTCTAACTCTTGGATTTGTTTATATGTCTGGAATGTATGGAATTGTGAGGTGACCCTCCAGTCATTTGTGCTTGAAACCCCAGCTCCAAAGTAGAACATCAGAAATAAGTGAATGATACATGTATTTGAATATTATTATTATTGATAGTTTGTTATACAAGTATGTGTAAACTGAAGTAAACATTGACAATTTGCTGGGGGTTATAAGAAGATACACAGTAGTAGGTGTGTTGGTCAATCTGTCCATACTACAGACCTTGTAATGTGAATCACTGACTTATGTACTTATACTGAAATAGACTTTAGGAGAAATGAGTGGTACAGTTTGAAATGAACTGTCTGTTATGGTTTTGTGTTACGTTTGAATGTTGACAGATTGCTCTTTAGAGGTTGCTATGGCTTCAGTTGTCCACCAGATGTCACCGTCACCTTTTCGGCACAATAGTTAAGAAAGCCTCAGTGCTTCAGGAGGCTTTTCTTGCCCACCACTACTTTTAAAGAAAATCTGGGCTTTTCTTGCCCACCACTACTTTTAAGGAAAATGCTTTTATTTGTGTTAACATGTGGCAAGCACCGCTTGCACTTTGGGCGCTCTAACTGGTAGCTCTCCTCTGGTCATCATTCATGGTTAGATTCAATGCTTAACTAGCTCACTTCTTTTAGCTGATTTCTTCAGCTCACGTCCTTCTGGGTTCCAGGAGGTTCAGAAGTGTCATCATTCATGGTTAGATTCAATGCTAACCATGAATGATGTGGGGAAACTGGACCGGACTAGATATTTTCAAAACATTTTACCTTTTGTCCAAAAGAGTTCTTTTCAAGAGGTTTTGTGCAATTTGCAGACCAGCCAGCACGGGTCAGCAGACACTAACAGTGTGACGTGCAGCTGTGGAAGAAACGATGTACGGTCAAAAACCATTACACATTAACAGTAAAAACTAAATACATTATAAACTAAATATTAACTCCCAGAGTCAACACAACAATGTTAAAGAAACGAAATCGAATCAAAATGAATACAGTTACGTTTTTATTCAATAGAAGCCTCGGCATGAGGCAAGTGCAGAAGCAGTAGATTATGTTGCAGATGCACAGTCAACCTCCTCACACGCACGCACACACATTAAAAAAACATAAACTCTGAGACGGGTTCACACGATTAACCTGGAAACAAAGTTGGGAAAAGAACGTGGTATTTTACTTTAGGATCCGACTATCTCTGCAACTCACCTCGAAGGGATACAAAATATATAAAGTATTCCTAGAGTGAGTACATTCTCTAAACTGAGACCCATAAATATGCATTTGAGAGTTCAAGTTTCAGTATGTACAGGGCCACATGCGTCCACAATATACAAACACACAATAAATATCGGATACAGTCACAAAACAGCATCACAGCCAGGTTGAGCGTTTTTGTCAGGTTTGTTTTTGTGGGCCAGTGGTAACACAGCATCAAAGCACTGTTAACATGTTGTGTCTCAACCTAAGAAGAACACTTTGAAAATAAAATCATAGTCAATACATGTAAAACAATGACTGGTAAATTTCACTCACCCTCATCCTGGACTAATCCAGTGCTATTCAGTGCATATACACAGTGGTGTGAATCAGATGCTGTCATCATCGTCGCCACCTGTCCAATACACGCAGCATTGCAGTGTCAACGAACCTCCACTTTTCCACTAATTGATGAAATTCAGCTGAAAAGACTTTGTTAATGTGACATTTTCTGATGGTTTTCTAAAGTCACCCACGTGACATTGAAATGTCCAGTTCAAGATTAACTTTACTGCACTACTGTTTTGAAGAAAAAATAATGTTCAATTTGTTGACATATCAATAAATGTTTAATATTTGTTTTGATGTTGTCAGTGTGGGAAGTCCAGCGTTTCCTACGACATACATGTACTTCACTTGGTTTTTGATGGTTTCATCTTCACTTTACAACTAGTTCCTTTTAATATTCTCTGTCTTTTCAAACATAGACAATGAGAGGGACAAACTGAAGTATTTGAAGGGATTTTACCTCAGCTTTAGCCACACTGTAGAAAGAGTCAATACATCTGGGTCAGTAGTGACTGTACGACACTGCATGACCTCTGAACTGTCACTATGTATTGATGCGTGTGTGTTACTCCGATTGAAAATGATGCATGGTGAATAAATGCATTGACTGTAAAGCTCCTTTCACAACAGTACACAACAAAATCAAACTCTGATTATTTTGGTAAATATTTGTCAAATAACAGGCTGAGGACCCTGCAGGACCCTCAGCCTCTGTCTGCTGTGACGTCCTGAACACACACTAGGTCTGTTCGCAAAACCTTAACGGCAAAACCAGAGAGACAATCATAATAAATACTTTTACACACATTGAAACGGATTGCAGTTTCCGGGTGTCTACAAATAAATACTTACAGTACTTGTTTTATTTTGTCAGCCACACGTGTACAAGCATCCTCACACACACACACACACACTGTCTTAAAATATTTTCACAGGTTAATTTCCAGCAGTCGTTACGTAGTTAGTATTTGAGCGCAGCCTAAAACCACACAGAAAGACACAGACGTGGATGAAAAAAAAAATTAAAAAAGAATCAATCATTTGGCTGTAGGTCAGTGATGGTCGTCCACGACTTCGACTTCGCTTCAGTCAAACTGTTGTTTCTACAGTGACAGATGAGCAGAGTCGATATGTTCACCGCAAATTATTAGAAAATTATAAATTATTGTTTTATTATTAACTTCATGTGAAAGACAGAGGGGATGCCCATCTTTTATATTTTGCCTATTTTTCTTGCAGATATAAACATTATATTACGCAGTGAACTGTGGTATTTTCAAAGTTTCTGTTTCAAAGTTGTGTGTTTAGGTCAGTAAACCAATAACACACTGCTGTTATCACGACCTCCAAAACTGTCAGGATAACAGGTTCCTGGTCGACAATCCATGGGAATCTCTGATATTACAGTAGAACAGCCAAGACACGTGACAGCCCTGAATGAAAGTTGAAGAAAAGTTCAAACACTGCCTATTACAAATTTCAAATCTTCCTGTTTTGTGTCTGAGCAGAAGCCGCCTGCCCCGCTGCTGATTAAGTTCAGACGACAATGTTGCACGATAAAGAGGAAACTAAAGAAATGACACGCACCACATGACCTCAGCTAAAAGCATCAGTGATGAGTTGTTTTTCAGTAAAGATAAAGAAGATTTTGGCACAACATTTAGGCCGTGATAACAAAAAAAAACAAACAAAACAAAAACGATAGATTTCTATAATCTGATGTCAGGTCAGATTGTAATCTTTTTTTTCCCGTGAGTGTACATGTTCTGGTGTATTCACTTCTCTTTCTGCAAGAGTACAACTGAAGTTTTGTTCACACGTAGGTGTTTTTAAAATCACAAGTTTTACTTCTTTAAAATAATTCCTTTTCACATGTACTACGGTTGATGACGCCTCTATCGCATGACTTTCACCGAACAAAGACATTGAGTGGAGCAATGAAGAAAAGGGAAGGTTGCAGATAGAAAAGTTGCTGCTATTTAACATCATGATTAAATAGAAATTAACAAAGAAATCCATCGTGTTCATGATGATGTCGTATTCCTAAACCAGAGGAAAAAGCGGAAGACGAATGCCCACGTCTACTATCATTACATTTTCATTGCAAAAAGATTTTGGAAGACTTTTTAAAAGTACATTTTTTTGATGATATAATTTACAGCCTGCATGTTATTAAAAGGCCAAAGCAGAAAACAATGCCCTCGTGTGGACAAAAGGATATTTGTTTTCATCAAGTGAAATGCTCTGAATTATATTTCCTATTCATTAGGACGGTTTTGTCAGTTTACTAACGACTATAAAAAATGGGGCAGGTGAGTAGCACAGGTTGAGCCACGTTTCAACGCAGTTCCAACCTCAGACACTCATAAGCCCAATGTAATGAGTTTTTTGGGATCAAAACAAGCCTGATCGTGACACATCACAACCTGACACAGGCTGCTGCAGCGACACACACAGTCAAAACGTTGTAAATCGTAACTTTTTTTCCCTCCCCGCTGGAGGAGCAGCAATTTTCTGCAGCTGTTTTTCTGTTACAGCCTTGCATAAATAAACCAGAGTTTAAACCTCTGCCACAGCCCATGAGCCAAACTATTGATACTTTTTTTTTCCATCTCTTGTTTCGTGCGTACAGAGGAAGCATAGAGAGAAGACGAACTGAAGCCGTCAAGCCCGCTGCTCTTTTTCTATGACCTTCACTTGGTGAAACTATAGCAAAGATAAAACGGCACAGTTTACAGAGAGGAGACTGTCGTTCTTCCTTGGCTGACCCACATGTTGGGACCCACAGTGTAAGGTGTTGAATACCAGGACCAGTCACGTACCAGGGCAGGGCTGGTCGCAGCACAGACTCCTTGGTTCTCCTCCTGGAGCCCCTGTCTGTGCGGCACGGCTGTTTTTCATCCTTGTTTGATTTACGAGTATTTCTCCTCAGAGCGTCCGCAGTCGTCCGTCAAAAGGGGGAAAAAAACTGGGAAAGTCTCCTTTGTAAATAAAGGATTGATGATCGTCACACTGCTGTAAAGGCAGGCGACAGAAAGCCATGGCTCTCGTGGATGATAACCACACGGACTTGACCGTCCTGAAATAAACCAGTGATGAATTTGTGAACTGAATCCTGAGGCCGAATGTAAAAAAACACTAAAAAAAAAACAAAAACAAAAAAAACACTAAGACAATGCGAGGACTTTCCAGACCTTCATTGATCTCCAGCCAGGAGCTAACAGTAGAGTGACATCCTACTACGCCGCATGGCCTCGCTGATTAAATACGCCGGGCTGACCTCTGGTTCCTCTGTCATCACCACAATGTTCTGCCATTCTCCAGACTGGTTGGACTTCTTTATGGTGTCCACCACGCACAGAGCGTACAGACAGTCTTCAAAGGTGGCAGCCATGGTCAGGGGCCTCCCGTCCCACGTCCGCCGATCGTCCTGGTCCTGAAAGGCTTGACGTACGGCTTGGATCATGCGAATGGTCCCGGTGAGATACGGGGCGGGAATGTCACTGAAGGCCTTGTCTGGTAAAGAGGCCTTTTCTAAAGGGGTGGTGTCTTTGAGCAGGAGTTCAGGACCGCCGCTGCTCCCCCCACCCCCGCTGTTCTTCTGTCCGTACAGGTCCGTGCCTGTGACCATCAACCGCCCCACGGTTCCGACAACTATCACTTCCTGACGGAACTCTCCCGGCACGTTAAAGTTCAGCGTCACGGTGCAGCAGGCGCCACCTTCCAGTACCATCTGGAACGTGCAGAAGTCGTCACTGGTGATCTGGCGAATCCCCCGGATGTGGTCTGTCTGTTTGACAAACGTCTTAAGAAAGCCGTGGACTTTCGCCGCACGTTGACCTGTCAGAAAAGTCAGCAGGTCGATGATGTAGCTACCAACTGAGTGCAGACCGCCACCTCCCATCAGGTCATCACAGCTCCAGTTGTACTTCTTCCCCAGGAGACTGCCACTGTGGACCTTTAGGTTGGATAAAAAAGACATTTGAACTTTTTACCTTGGACAGACAGACTGGAGACATTTTAACTTCGTCACCAGGCAGTAGTGGGTACAATTTTGTGGGCAATGACGTTAGTTTGTCCTCGAGGGTGCCATTAAGGGTTACAGTGAATTTTCAGCCAATCACAGCAGACATTAGACAAAGCCAATTAGCTCATATGCAAATCTAGGGTCAGTTTAACGTTAACCATTAACCTGATGCATGTTTCAGTACTTACAAAACACATTTAAAAACGAAAATTTCACTTGAACAGAAATGAGAAACCCATTAAAATAAATTTGTGGGACCAGGAAGTACCCATCCAGGTAACGCACCATTCACGTTGATCAGTCTCTCGGTAATCATGAACATCGTTCAATTTTCTGTTTTACCTGCGCCTCACAGACCAGAAGCTCCCCGATGTAACCTTCCTCCAAGAGCTCCTTCATTCGTACAAAGGCCGGCAAGAAACGCAGCACATTTCCCATAATGCTCAGCAACTTGGGGTAGTACTGGGCTGCTGACATCATCCTGAAGGCATCCAGTGGCGTGGCCGTTCTGTCACAGATAACGTTCTTACCGATTCCTTCAAAAGTAAAAAAAAAGGAAGAGGGAGAGAAAAGAAAATTGGAAGTTAGCGTACTGAAGAAAATATTTTCAGAATTTCATACGTTCCCAAACAGATGGATTTGTTTGCCCCTGTACGGCCAAAGTAAACATGAGAAAGGAAAGAAAAGAACAGGGAAGGAAGAAAAAGAGAGGAGTGATGTGGTCAGCCTGACTAACACGTGCAGACACAATATCCTCCAGAGCTGGAAAACATCCTCTGAAGAAACAATGCAGACCTCCGAAATGTGGCGACTCCCAGAATAGCAAAGTTACAAATTCCTCCACTTTCTGGACTATAATCCAGATTCGTTTTGACTTTAAATGCTGTCCAAAAAAACAAAACAAAAAAACAAAACATAAAGGGAAATCTGCCATATTCTTTATAAAATTGGAAGGACTGCAAGAAAACAAAATATTAAATGATTAAAATTAAACAAAATATACAGACCCATAAACAGAGGTACAATCTAGAAAAGAAAAAACTAAGCAAAATAGAGAAAATATACAATATATGTAAAAAAAAAATTTATACATATATATACATAGATATATTAATATATATATATATATATATATATACACATATATACATATATTTATATACATATATATTGAAACACTATCAAAAATATTAGATAAAAAGAGAATCCTTCTTCCATTGTAGAAATGAGTTATACTCTGTTATGGCTCTGTTTATTTCTTATTTCAGCTTCAAGCTATTGTGACAAGACGCAGACTTGTAATAAAACCACTAAGGGCACCGCACACCAACAAACAAATAATACAAAAATCGTCTTTTCTTCCAGTCCTGGTTGGAGGGGTCTCTGGGAGGAGGGGGGGCTGTTTTGGAAGTGAAACTTGCCATGCTAATCTGCCATTAGCTCCAATCAGCCAGACCAGGAAAATAATCCCTCTGACCCAGTTCGGTGGGAGCCCCCCCACTCACCTCACTACTACCAGACAACCACATTGCAGACACACGAAGCCCGGCAACCACAGTGCATCCGCCCCTCTCTTTTTATTTTCTCAGGCACAAACAAAAACACATACTGCAGGGATGCTAAGTCCTTGTGGGTAAATGCTAAATGCTCTTGACTAACTTTGTTGGCAGTGACAGTCAGCTTTTGTGTTCTCACAATGGCTATTGCCTTCTCCAAAATCCTTACAGGCAGATTTTCACTGTCACTCTCTTTCATGTAGGGGGAAAAAAAGGTACTTTGTGGAGAGAAGTGACTTTTTCTTTCTGTGCCTGGAAGTGAAGGATGAAGTGAAAAAGATGTATATTGGAGAAAACATAACAGATCTTCTAAAACTGATACACACAAAACGCAGTTTTTCTACAGCTAAATAATGTATTTAAATACTAAGGTCCAATAGTCTGACACAGTATTAGGCAATTTTCCCCTATTGTTTACAACATTAACCTCCAATGATCTCACGTTTGATTCCAAAAGTCTTGTCAGAATGAAAACAATTGTTCAAAGGTTAAAATGTGATCAGTGACCTCCAGACGACCTCTTAACCTACACTATCAAATAACTTCATTTTTAAGTCCAAGTCTAAGCCAACCATGACAGATAATCCTTAATTTGTTTTATAAGGGAACATATTATATTCCTACAGGAAGGAAAGACTAGAAATAACCAGATTACCAGGAAAATCTTTTGTACATGAATCATTGTGGAGAGACATGACGCATGTGTTTGTGGATATACAGAGAATGGAACTTCAATGTCACTTTACTAGAAACATACAATATCACAAAGAGACATAACAAGAGGTCTAGTATCTACCATGGACTCCTGATCCTATTCGAACCTGATCTATGTAAAGCAGGGCCCAGGGCTAGTCAAACCAGCTGCAGTGGCGAGTGGAGCTCGTCTCACAGGTAAAGCGGCCGACCCAGTGGGACGGAAGGAACGGGGGAGAGAAAAAGTCTCCCGCAGTGTAGCTCAGTCACTCAACATAAAAAATTCAAGCAAAGGACATATCTAATATCTCAGCAGGAGTTGCTGAAGACACACAGAGACAATGGTGGTGGTGGTGGAGTGAGCAGGAAGAAAGTTGAGAAGAAAAAAAACAACAAAAAAGTGAAATATTTACTTATACTATACTGTAGATATGTACATATATAAATATATATACTGTATATATACATATATACAACACTATATATATATACGTATATATAAATATATACATATATATTTATATACATAAATGTACATATATCTATATGTATATATGCATATATAAATATGTATAAAGTTTATGTACACACACAGAGACAATGGTGGTGGTGGTGGAGTGAGCAGGAAGAAAGTTGAGAAGAAAAAAAACAACAAAAAAGTGAAATATTTACTTATACTATACTGTAGATATGTACATATATAAATATATATACTGTATATATACATATATACAACACTATATATATATACGTATATATAAATATATACATATATATTTATATACATAAATGTACATATATCTATATGTATATATGCATATATAAATATGTATAAAGTATATGTACACATATATATAAATTAATTGCATTGTTATGTGCAAAATAAAATGGGAATTTACAAGTTGTGTATTGCCCACATTTGTTTTAAAATGTCACTGAGCAATGGACTTTAATAACAATAATGATGATAAAATAATTGTTGGTATTAATTAATTGTTACTTAGACACTATAACAACACGTTACCCAGTGTAATATATTTATCAATTTATATAGAAGAAACATTTCACTGTTGTCTTTGTCTCAGAATCCTCTCCTTTACCTCACACTCCCGTTGTGTCTCCCTGATGGCCGACGTATGGAGGACATGTTATGGCAACGAAATACTGCCAGAATAAAAGTGTAGCTGGAGCAAAACATTGTACTTTTCCACTGAGCTGGTGACAAACACAAAAGAAATCATGACCACATAAGTCCCCCTAAACCTAAATGTCCCTTCATAGTTTTGGAACAGAGGCTACTCTACTGTAAATTGTTGTCTTTCTGTGCTTAAGAATATCACGGCATGGAAATTCTGAGCAGAATACATTTATCTTGATACCAAACTAAACACAGCTGCTACAGTGTGTGTTAGAGCATGTGTGGGTGTACAGATTTGTATCACAAAGCAGCGCGTCGCATATCTAACAAATGTGTGAGGAAATTCGTTTTTATATCAGTACATATTCAATTATTACTATGAAATCCTACAGCAGAAGCTCTGGGTGGTCCTTGACCTGAAATCTATTTAAAAAGTCTCCGGGGTATGAGGTGGAGAACCACGGCCTGGGTGAACTAGATTCTACACAGATATCAAGTAATGTGTGGTTCTGAATTGAATTATTTGGTAAAGGAAGCCATACTTTACTCAAGAACTTAGATTTTACTGTGTTATATGGTTGTTTGCAAATAGAACTCCAGCCTAAAGTAAATCCAAGTGTTGGCGTGCTGCCCTGCAGGAAGTTGCCACTATTTGTTTAGATACAAAATACATCTACAAAGACAGGTAGGGTTAGAGTGCCCAAAAATTATCCTGAAGAAACATGTCATAAAAAAATGGGGGTGGGGGGGGGTGGGTTGTGATGATTAGAATGCTTGGTTCATTTGTCTAACTGTGGTATTTATTACAGCTGCATACAAGTCCATATTTCCTGGAGTGTAATCTATCATTAATGTAGTTCAGGGGCAACAGCTGGAAATCACTAAAGAGGAAATCCAGCTGGATTAAAAAGGATGCTAAACAATTAGGTGTGACAGCAAAGACAATAGGGTCTAAGAATGAGACTCTTGTAGAAGAAAAGTTGGGGGAAATCCACTCTAGAGTGACCTGAGTCACTGAACTCTGACTGTAAATGAAGGTCAGAAGAAGAGAAGGCAAAAGAAAACTCCGGTGGTGTAGGTTTTTCTGTAGCACGCCTTCACTAAAAGTCTCTACTAGCTGTACTGAATCTAACACTGTGATGAGGGTGATACGGCGACAGCAGATTGCAATTTGTTTTCCCCTTCTGCAGCCTTGAGCTGATCCATTAGTGCACGGCACCACCACAGAATGATGACGAGCACTAAAATCACTCAAATGGCTTTTCCCTTTCAGCTAATGCCCAGCAGTTGGGAGGAATTTAGCATTTGTAAATATGTTAAAGTGCTGTCATTAACCCTTCACTGCAGCAGCCTGCTGGCTACCACCGATGGAGAGTAGCCAAAGGGATATCTTCGGGCTACGGGGATCCTAATGGACGTAGTAAAAAAAGCACTGAGTGGACTTCGGAATAACCAGTGGAAAATCAGAGAAGGATTCTTCCATAGAATCAGGCAATAAGACTTCAATAAACTTCAACAAATGTCCTCAGTTTATGACGTCCCGGACCTACCTATTTGTACTCAGCTGAAATGAATGTACGGCAGAATTTAGATCAAATATCTCTGTTTCAAATCAATATGTTCTTGGACTTCAGGGACGTCCAGTGCTGCTCCTATCAAAGCCATGAAGGGCATCTCTGTAGCAGACTACCAAAGGAAGGAGGTGGAGGGAGGAAGAGGAGTTGAATACTAATGGGCTACACTCAGCAGACACTTTTTTTTCCACAGACACACACACTCATGTGCACTAATAGACTCAGCACGCTGCTGTGTTCAGGGGCACAATATGTAAGGCGTGTGATTGTTCCATTGACTCTGAAGTTAAAATAACTCTGCTCTGGTCTACGATGGAAAATTTTAGAAGACAACACATGAAGAAGAAAACAAGGCACGTTTGAACATCTAAATTTAGTTTCCAAGTAATAAAGTTCATAACTGGGCTGTCAAAAGATTCCAAGGTCCAACGTGTGTGTGGTTTATTGTTCACCAAGGTCATAAATCTCGAAAATAAAACAACAACAAAGCTGCAACGGACATTGAGAAATGAACATTTTGCAAATTGGTGACATCTAATGGTGAGAAATAATACATGCCCACTTGACATCAAAAT